TTGTTTCATTCATTCTTGCCTCTGTTTACATACCGCCATGCGCGGACGCGCGCGAGGCTCAGCGCGCACTTGCAGAGCAAGTACTGTGTATGGAACGTTTATACCCGGACTCTCTGATTATTATCCTGGGGGATTTTAATAAGGGAAACTTGAGCCAGGAATTACCCAAATACAGACAGTTTATCAAATGCCCGACCAGAGAGGAGAACACTCTGGATCACTGCTACACCACCGTGCGCGGAGCTTTTCGCGCTGTTCCCAAGCCAGCCCTCGGCTTCTCAGATCACTCCATGATACATCTGGTTCCTGCTTACAGACAGAGACTAAAGCTCTCGAAACCTGCAGTGAGGAGCTCCAAAGTGTGGTCTGATGAAGCTGTGGAAGAGCTGCGCGCATGCATGGAATCTACAGACTGGGACCTTTTCAGAGCTGCCAGAGATAGTTTGGATGAATACACGGACACTGTGACGTCATACATCCACTTCTGCGAGGATAGCATCATTCCAACAAGGACCAGGGTCATCTATAACAACGACAAACCCTGGTTCACTGCTAAACTCCGGCAGCTCAGGAAAGCAAAGGAGTCTGCTTTCAGGGAGGGGGACCGCAGCGGCTACAAAGCAGCTAAATATCAGTTCAGGAAAGAACTGAAAGCAGCCAAGTCCCGGCACAGAGAACGACTACAGGAGCAGTTTGGTAACAACGATACTGCTTCTGTCTGGAGGGGCCTACGGGAGATCACCAACTACAAGCCCAAAGCCCCCCCCTGTGCTGACGACCACAAGCTAGCTGACGATCTGAACTTATTTTTCAGTCGCTTTGATGCTGCCCCTGACACCTCTCCCTCCCCCACCCCCCACTACTCTAACGACCCACCCATCAGCCCTGCCCCCAGCCTAACAATAGCCTCTAAAGACATTAAACAACTCTTCCTGAGGCTGCACCCCCGCAAAGCTCCTGGCCCGGACCACGTGTCTCCGGCCACTCTGAGACACTGCGCCAGTGAGCTTACTCCTGTGTTCACTGACATTTTCAACACCTCTCTGCAGTCCTGCCATGTCTCGGCCTGCTTCAAATCCTCCATCATTGTCCCCGTCCCGAAGAAGCCCAGGATCACAGGACTCAATGACTACAGACCTGTAGCACTTACGTCTGTCGTCATGAAGTCATTTGAACGCCTGGTTCTCTCCCATCTCAAGTCCCTCACCTCCCCCCTCCTGGACCCCCTGCAGTTCGCCTACAGAGCCAACAGATCTGTAGACGACGCCATTAACCTGGCCCTCCACCACATCCTACAGCACCTGGACTCCCCGGGGACCTACGCCAGGGTCCTGTTCGTGGACTTCAGCTCTGCCTTCAATACAATCCTGCCATCCCTGCTCCACGACAAGCTCTCCCAGCTCAACGTGCCCGATTCCATCTGCAGGTGGATCACTGACTTCCTGACGGACAGGAAGCAGCGAGTGCGTCTGGGGAAGAATGTCTCGGACTCTCGGTTTATAAATACAGGAGTCCCACAGGGCTGTGTTCTTTCTCCCCTGCTCTTCTCCCTGTACGCCAACCACTGCACCTCCAGCCACGACTCTGTGAAGCTGATCAAGTTCGCGGACGACACCACCCTCATTGGACTCATCTCCAACAACGATGAGTCCGCCTACAGGAGGGAGGTGGACCGGCTGGTGTCCTGGTGCAGTGGTAACAACCTGGAGCTGAACGCCCAGAAGACAGTGGAGATGATTGTGGACTTCAGGAAGAGCACTGTCCCCCCGCCCCCACCCTCCGTGATGGACTCCCCCATCACCTCTGTGGAGTCCTTCCGTTTCCTGGGCACCACCATCACCCAGGACCTCAAGTGGGAGCCGACCATCAGCTCCCTCATCAAGAAGGCCCAGCAGAGGATGTACTTCCTGCGGCAGCTCAGGAAAGCCAAGCTGCCTGCACAGATGTTGGTGCAGTTCTACACGGCCATCATCGAGTCCATCCTCACCTCCTCCATCACCGTGTGGTTCGCTGGAGCCACAGTCAGGGACAAACAGAGACTACAGCGCATTGTGCGCTCTGCAGAGGAAGTGATCGGCCGCAGCCTTCCATCGCTGCAGGACCTGTACGTCGCCCGAGCTCGAGGCCGGGCTGGTCGTATCACAGCCGACCCCTCTCACCCTGCACATGGACTATTCCATCCACTCCCCTCAGGCAGGAGGCTGCGGTCCATCAGGACTAGAACCTCCCGCCACAAGAACAGTTTCTTCCCCTCTGCTGTTGGACTCTTGAACACTTCTTAACCTGTCCCCCCGCCCTTTATAAAGTCACTTTACTGCCCATCATACGTCACTTTACTTCACTGTACTGCTGTCACCTTACATTGTGTGCACCATGTGCACTTGTATATTGTAAATAGTAACTGTAACTCTATTTTAAATTTAAATTTATTCTTTAGAAGTGTTTTTTTATTCTTATTTTTATCATCTCTTTTTGACTGTTGCACTGAGCCAAAGCAATTTCCTAGTCTGTGACCTCCTGTTACTTACGTGGCAATAAAAATGATTCTGATTCTGATTCTGATTCTGATTTCTCTGGTCTCTCTCTGGTCTCTCTCTGGTCTCTCTCTGGTCTCCCTCTGGTCTCTCTCTGGTCTTTCTCTGGTCACTCTCTGGTCTTTTTTCTGGCCCCTCCCTGGCCTTTCTCTGGTCTCTTTTTGGTCTCTCTCTCTGATCTCTCTCTGTTTTTTTTTTTCTGGTCCCTCCCTGGTCTATGTCATCCCTTCAGTCTCTGTCTCTAGCCTCTGACTCTCTGGTCTCTCTCTGGTCTTTCTTTGGTCTCTCACTCTGGTCTCTCTCCCCTTTCTGGTCCCTCTCTGGTCCATCTCTTTCTTTAGTCCCTCTCAAGACTCTCTCTCTCTCTAATCTCTCTCTGGACTTTCTAATTACTTTTGTTTCGTCCATTTTCTTTCAACTCTTTTCTGTGTTTTATAATCATTACCATTATTAGTCCTTTAAAACATTTATAAATCTAATATCTTTCTTTTCCCGCAGATATGGATGCAACACTGTGACCCCAAAGCACTGGCCACTTTGAACTAATGGAGAAATTCGTCGCCACGGAAACGCAACCGAGATGATGGCCTCCTGTTCGCAACTAATGTCTTTGCGAAACTGACCTCGCCTGAGCTTTTTTCTCTTCTTCTTTATGACCATCGACTGCACCATGGGTCGTCTGTGTCCGGCTCACACCAGCAGTCGGACGCAGCCTGGTGTCGGGAAGCTGTAGCCGTTTTTGGAATCGCTTTTCTGTTGGATTTATTTCGCGATCGGGACCAGGTATGGATGTACCAGAGAGCAAGCATGGCAAGAAGTCCACGAGTCAGAAACTGGAGGATCAGAAAAAGGTAACGGACGTTTTAAAATCACTTCCGCTGACTGCAGTGTGGTTATTATCGCAATTTCTGCTTTTGGATTGAGCTGATTCGCATGGATAAACTGGATTAAGACGGATAATAGAGTAGAGTCTGTTGGGATGTTGCTGTTGCGATATGTCCCTTCTGTTCTGTGATTGGTCCCCAAATCCATGCAAAAATATCTTCCAGAGTTCCCAGACTGTGCTGCAGTTTGAAATAATTTTAGCACACACGGCAGCATAGAGATGGAGAGACTTGGAGAGACTTGTGCACAATCAGAGCTGGTCTAAAGTCTAATCTCTGAGCCACAGGAAACCAGCGCAGAGACCTGAGAACTGGACTAATGTGATGGAACTTCCTGATTCTAGTCGGGACTCGAGCTGCAGCATTTAGAATTTACTGCAGATGTGAGCAGGCGGTTAAAGTCGTCTTTCTGGAGACAAATACATTGATAAGAATCTCTAAGTCTGCTTTAGACAATATATTTGTTTTAGTCTGGCAATGTTTTCAAATTGTAAAATGCTGCAGAAGTCCCTTTTTACTCCTATATTTGTCGATTTATTTCAACGAGGGGCTGGTGCTACTGTATGTGTACCGGGTGTAGCTCTGACTGCCACCCCCTGTCCCAGAAATGGATTAAGGGGAAGAAAATGGATGGATGGATGGAAATTTCAACGTTTGTTTCTTGTACTTTTTACCTTGTTCTCTATAAATGTACGTGTCTGCTGCACACTGGGGATTCCTGCACATGTATTCCAATGTGGTTTTACTGCAAATGGCGTAAAAACTGACTCCGTATAAACAGGTCCCGGCTTTATACCGATGCTTCTCTCGCCAACGTCTCTGATTTCTCTCTCTGCATCAGATGTTCAGCCAAATAAATGAAGACACTTTTGCTGGCGGGAGTTTGATGGCCCAGTCCGTCATGTTAACAAGTCTTAAATATTTTGTCCACAACTATCTTTGGGACCATCTGGCGACACCCTCCTCTCCCTCTGCTCCCTTAGCTCCTGCGTCATTAACATTTAGATAGCCAGGGGCGCCAGATCCAGCCTGCCTCGCTCTTGGCCTCCTCTCGCATCGGTAATCCGCTTCAGTCCAACACCTTGTTCAGTCGTGTTGCCCTCGGATTTATTTCCTGTTTTTTTTTTTTTTACAAGTGGAGATATTTCAGTAACCTTGTAATTCAAAGGGTGAGACCAAAGATAGAGACCAGTGGGAGAGGGACTAGGAAGTGAATCCAGAGATAGACCAGAGAGAGAGAGAGAGACCAGAGAGTTAAACCAGGGAGAGACCAGAAAGAGAGACCAGGGAGAGACCAGAAAGAGAGACCAGTGAGAGATGGACTAGGGAGTGAAACCAGAAAAAGAGCAGAGAGAGACCAGTGAGAGAGACCCGAGAGAGAGGCCAAAGAGAGTGACCCGAGAGGTGAGAGAGACCAGAGAGAGACAAGAGAGAGAGACCTGAGAGAGAGACCTGAGAGAGAGACCTGAGAGAGAGACCAAAGAAAGACCAGAGAGAGAGAGACTAGAAGGAGGGTCTCAGGTGTCTTCATTGCCATGCAGAGTGAGGTGCTGTCTGCAGGCTCAGGCGGCTCAGGACAGTGATGGATCAGGAGTCCGGACACGTCACGAGCCTGGTCCCCGAGCAGCGAGACGGAGCCGTACTAAATATGAAAGCTGTTAAACTGTCAGCGCGGCTCCATCGGCGTGTTGTACAACATGAGGTCACGGGAAACACGAGCAGAGAGCTTTACCGCCTCTCACCAGAGCGCCGAGCAGCAGAGGGACAGGGATCAGGTCTTTCACGTTATAATGCTACAGTGGCCTCAGCTCCATGACCATGTGTCTGTGACCAGTGTTGGTGTAAACGCCCGAGGACCATGACCTCAGACGTCACAGATCGGGTTTGATTCATTTAGAGAAAGGCCCAAGAACTGCAGCTTATTGATTTAGATACAGGGTCACGTGAAGCTAAAGCAAACTAACACAACACAAACTGTATCTATCCATCTATCTCTCTGTCAGTCTGTCTGTCTCTCTATCCCTCTCTCTCTATCTCTCTCTCTACCTATCAATTTATCCCCCTCTCTCTCTCTCTCTCTTCCTATTGATGTATCTATCTATCCATCTATCTATCTATCTATCCCTCTCTCTCTCTCTCTCTCTCTCTCTACCTATTTATGTATCTATCATCTATTCATCTAGCTATCCCTCTCTCTCACTATCTATCTATTTATTTGTCTGTCTGTCTGTCTATCAGTCCGTCTGTCCGTTCGTCCGTCCGTCCGTCTATCTATCTATCTATCTATCCCTCTCTCTCAACCTATTTATGTGTCTATCTATCTATGTAAATATATATGTATCTAAAGAAGTCTCTGAGCATCGTAGCCATCCAAAGGTGCTCCTCTCCTCTCTTCTTCTCTCCTCCTCTTCTCTCATCTCCTCGTCTTCTCTCCTCTCCTCCTCTTCTCTCCTCTCCTCCTCTTCACCTCCTCTCCTCCACTCGCACCTGCTCCTTCCATGTAGATCATTCCTGCAGCTTCATTATTCTGTCTCTCACATGTTCTGCTGCTGCACTGGGCCCACACCGACATCACACAACAGCACGGACTGTACAGATCTGCTCTTTAAATATTCAATCAGACATGTCCACGCAGGCCTAGATCAGTCGGGATCAGCTGGGGAGGACCAGGGGGAGGACCAGGGGGAGGACCAGGGGGAGGACCAGGGGGAGGATCAGGGGGAGGACCGGGGGGAGGACCGGCGAAAAGTGAAGACCGATATCCTCTCTCTCCCGATGGAACGGCTTTGTTTGGGTGATGAAAATGAGCAGTAAGTTAAAAGATTTCAAGATGAGTGAGCCCAAAGAATCCAGAAAGAAAGACCAGAAAGAAAGACCAGAGAGAGACCAGAGAGAGACCAGAAAGAGACCAGAGAGAGACCAGAGAGCATTCAGAAAAAAAAAACACAAAACTTCTTCCAGGGGTTGAAAACTTTCAAGCTGCAGCTGGAAACTGCATGTCCTACTTAAGTCATTATTATTTGTCAAAATACATTGCACCATGTGGCCCTCACTCATATAAGAACAGAAAGAATCCAACTGGATCCACAGGGGGCGAGTTTGTACGATAACCCCGGCACGAGACCAGAGAGAGCCAAGCTGTTCTAGACTTGGATTCATATAATCTCCCAGTCCCCTGCTGTCGGCAAGTTAGAGAGAGACCAGTAAGAGATCAGAGAGAGAGACCAGAGAGAGACCAGAAAGAGATCAGAGAGAGAGACCAGAGAGAGACCAGAAAGAGATCGGAGAGAGACCAGAGGGAGAGACAAGAGAGAGACCAGTGTTATACCAGAGAGAGAGACTAGAAAGACCAGAGAGAGTTACCAAACAGATAGACCAAAGAGAGAGAAATGACAGAGAGACCAGAGGGAGAGACTAGAGAGAGAGGGACTAGAGGAAGTTTCTAGACAGATAGACCAAAGAGAGAGACGTGAAAGAGAGAGAGACCAGAGCAAGAGACCAGATGGAGACCAGAGAAAGTTTATAGATAGAGATACCGGAGAGAGAGAGAACAGCAAGAGATACCAGAGAGAGAGACCAGAGAGAGCCCAGCTGTCCTGGACTTGGATCCCTGTAATCTCCCAGTCCCTGCTCACACATTTGTCTCGCTGTCGGCAAGTTAACCCTCGCATCCTCAGCTTATCGGCACATTTCCCATCTCCAAAAAGTGTGCCAAATCTGCTCCCTGGAGTCATGAATATTTGATGCTGTTTCTCACCTACAGCCTGCATGCATACATTTAAAAGTGTGTTATTTCTGTTGCTCAGAGAGAGTCTGGAGTGAGGTGGGATCAGAGCGAGCCCACAGAATCCATCAGGAGCAATCTGCTGTTATTGTGTCTGTGTTAAAAGAAAAATAGACTTTATGAAGTTTTCTGTGTTTTACATAGTTGTTGGGGCATCAGGAGTTTGACAGGTGTGGGGACCAGAGACCAGAGAGAGAAGTCAGAGAGAGACCAGAGGGAGAGGCCAGAGAGAGACCAAAGAGAGAGACCAAAGAGAGAGACCAGAGAGAGAGACCAGAGGGAGAGGCCAGAGAGAGACCAAAGAGAGGGACCAGAGGGAGAGACCAGAGAGAGACCAGAGAGAGGCTAGAGTGGGGCCAAAGAGAGAGAGAGGCCAGGCTGAGAGAGACCAGAGAGAGAGACTAAAGGGAGTGACCAGAAAGATATTTTTTGTCCACAGCCTGTCAGACCAATGGGGGCAGATCTCCCCAAGGTATTTTTTTTGTGGGGTTTCTTACCGATGCAGGAGGGTCTAAAGTGTTGTGATGGTCCTCCCGTCCATCTGGTCTTGCACATACGTCATTTTACTGACGTTTGTGCTTAAATGATAAAAGAAAGATAATGAATGTATCGTATTGAATCCAGGCTGATCGATTATAGTGTATTCAAGGGAAATATTTTATTAGATTGTGTTTGGAAATACCCGTGACAATATCTCTCTGTTACTAAGAATTCTGTCTCCCCATTACTAAGGGCACTATCTCTCCATTGCTAAGGATACTGTCTCTCCGTTACTATGATACTGTCTCTATGTTACTAAGGATACTGTTTCTCCGTTGCTAAGGACACTGTGTCTCTGTTACTAAGGTTACTGTCTCTCCGTTTCTAAGGATACTGTTTCTCCGTTACCATGGATAATGTCTCTCCGTTACTAAGGATACTATCTCTCCGTTACTAAGGAAACTCTCTCTCCGTTACTAAGGATACTGTCTGTCTGTTACTAAGGATACTGGCTGTGTCCAAAACGGTAGGCATCGGGCCGCGTAGGGTGGATATGTAGGCATCGAGGGAAGGCCGCGTAGCCACAGGCGAGGTAGGAGGCGAGACGTGATGTGGATTTGGACAGCAGCTGCCTTCTGCCTTCGTCACGTGACTACACAACTCAGAGCGGAGCGGAAGGACACGGCGGCCATGATGGACGGTAAAAAGTTCTAAATACGCTTTAATTAGGACATAAAAGTTAATTCTAATATCATTTGAGGCGAGAAATATCCCCCTCTATTGTCATATCAGAAGTCTGTTTGGAGATAAATTCGAAAATTTTCGGACTTTACCTCCAGCCTGAAGCTCCGGTGCTATAAGCTAACAGCCCAGTTAGCTGCAGTGCTGAAGCCCAGAACAGGCTGTCTAAACACGGGTTCAGGTAATGAGAGCCCCCTGGATGTTTACAATCGTATTCTGAAAAAACAGAGGATGCTTTTGTATTGGCAGTAATCATTAGTTTTTACAAAGTTATATTTTATGTAAACAATGCACATATATGCAATAAATGATTATTAGATATGGATTATATATTTGCTATGGCCCTCGTTTGTGCATCACTTAAAAGTAATTTTATCAGACCTAAATGTATTAACGTGTGTTTGCTGATGAGAGAGAAACATCCATTTATCTATAATAATAACTGACACATCCATTTATCTATAATAATAACTGGAACATCCATATATCTATAATAATAACTGGAACATCCATGGATCTATAATAATAACTGACACATCCATGGATCTATAATAATAACTGACACATCCATTTATCTATAATAATAACTGACACATCCATGGATCTATAATAATAACTGACACATCCATGGATCTATAATAATAACTGACACATCCATGGATCTATAATAATAACTGACACATCCATGGATCTATAATAATAACTGACACATCCATGGATCTATAATAATAACTGACACATCCATTTATCTATAATAATAACTGACACATCCATGGATCTATAATAATAACTGACACATCCATGGAAACATTAACAGACATCTGTAAAATGGAGTTGAACACAGATGTTTGACACTGCTCTTATTCACTTTTATATCTCTTGAAAAGCAAACAGACCGTTACTAATCACATTTGAGTTTAATGTATTCAATTATAAGTATAAGTATAAGTACTGCTGACAAATATGTAGTTGTGTAAATAATACCTCACTTTGATGACTCTTTACATTTCACACAAACAACAAAATCATAATAAAACCAACAAGTTTGATTTGTTTTCTTTATTTCCAGGTTCTCTGAAGTGCTGTCGATGAGACCTGTGTCAGAGGCAGACGCCCAGGACTCTGCTGCTGCTCCCTGCTGCTGCTGTGTTGTTACTGCTGTTACTCCTTCTGCTGCTGCTGTTACTCCTCCTGTTGCTCCTTCTGCTGCAGGTGTTACTCCTCCTGTTGCTCCTTCTGCTGCTGCTGTTACTCCTCCTGTTACTCCTCCTGCTGCTGCTGTTACTCCTCCTGTTGCTCCTTCTGCTGCAGCTGTTACTCCTCCTGTTACTCCTCCTGTTGCTCCTTCTGCTGCTGCTCCTTCTGCTACATGTCTTCAGAGATGCAGAGCCCACTGTTCTAACTATTCATGATTGCTGATTAAAGGAAAATATTATATACAAGTTTGTTGTAGTTCATAATGTGGTGATGAGGTGATGGAGGTGAAGCAGGAGGTGATGGAGGTGAAGCAGGAGGTGATGGAGGTGAAGCAGGAGGTGATGGAGGTGAAGCTGGAGAAATTATGACCTTAATTTCACCACAAGTCTCTGAAAAAGAAGAACACAAACATCATGCATTAAAACACAGCCCACATTTAGGATTCTTTTTACACTTCATATTCAATTAATACTATTTATTTGGGGCTTTGCAAAAAACTGGTTAAAAATAAAATACAGAAATCCTTACAGTATTTAATATTAGAGATACAAGCTTCTTCACAGCAGAAGGGAAATAGAAAGAAGAATGATATGATAGAAATATCTGTATAATGTGTGTTTATACACATAAAATGAACTTAATTTATCAAATAAGATGAACTTTTCATCTGAAAAAAGTGGCTCACAACAGACGGTTCAAGTTCCAACTTGCAATTTTATTGTCAGTGATTGCAAAAATCTTAGTAAGGTGAACAATTTTGAGTTGTCGTTTTTACGGTGCATGATCAGTGATAGTTGGCCTCATAAACATGCCCAAAGTAGTTTTTTCATTGATTCCGTCAATCTTTAGTTAGAGCGATCTTTCTCTTTCATTCTCCAGAGACACAGAAACGAGCTGATTCAAATCGTTACGTGGCACAATCCGTGACGTTAAAAGCGTCACTGATCGACAGCGAGGAGAAACTGAACCAGCGAATCAGCGGCGTCCATGCAGCTCATGCAGCCTCTCTCCGAGTCCAGCGTGTGGTCCATAGACAGTAAATAAGCATCTGTACTCCCTCAGCATTGACCCACATGTGGAACGGAGCTTTGGGCCAAGAGCCAACTTTGAACCATCCTGTAAAGACGTTTTCCGGAGGTAAGAAGATGCTATATGTTATCATTGGCTAATTCTTACTCCGGGTCCACCCCCATCGGCCCGGGGTGGTATGCAGCATGTCAGCGCACATCATTTTGGCCACTTTTGAGCCGGGACACGTCCCCACTGGTTCCAACCCGGTACTAGCAAGGTGTACCCAATAAAGTGGCCGGCGAGAGTATGTCTGTAGATTCTTATTCTTTCTACTAAATCCTGCTCAGTTCAGTTCATCGTCAAAGCTTGCTTCAGTTCTCCTCAAGATACTTTTACTTGTAAAGGAGTTGCTTTTTTAAAGGAGCAGTGTGTAAACATCTGGCCAAAAGTGGTACTGTAGCTTCTCCCACTCTCCCTGACTCAGGTTGCCAGATATGCAGACGAATCCAGCTGGGACTATAAGAGTTTTGTCAACAACAAATCTATAACCAATACCTTTTTTATTGAAATGTGTTAATTATGACAATGTGTTTACATGGTGCATGTAAAAACTACTATTTCCCGTAACATTTAGCAGGGCACAGTGTGAGTTCTGTTTGTGTGTTCATGTCTTTGTCATGTAAGGCAAGGCAAGTTTATTTATATAGCACAATTCATACACAAGGCAATTCAAAGTGCTGAAAGAAATAAGAAAGCATTAAAATCATAAATAATCACAGAACATTAAAAAGACAGATGAAAATATAAAATCCCTCAGTATGCACAGCTAAATAGAACTGTCTTTAACCTGGTTTCAAACATTGTCAGTGAGGAGGCCTGTTCCTCATGTAAAAGAAATGAAAACATTTTATTTACATGATATTTATGAACATTTTAAAATCCACAATTTCCAACGTCATATGACATCACTATATATAAAATTAGATAGGTACATGTATTCAAATGTTCTTTCCAAGCGTTTGGAATGCTTGCATGTGGCTCCAGAGCAAAAGATTTCATACCCCTGTTCCAGAAAAATAAAACATACATTTTTTGTCATGTCGTTCCCTTTATTTATCCATTTCTGGGTCGGGACGGACATCAGAGCTGCCCCCAAGTCCCTCACTGATCCTGCAGGTGGGGGTTCTCAGGTAGATGCTGCTCCTTCAGCGGGGGCTTCAGGCAAAGTGTGGTTAAGTGCCTTGCTCAGGGACTCAAGAGAGATCAGTGGGAGCATGGGTTGTGGGGGGATTGAACCCACGACCATCAGGTCCAAAGACCAGTGCTCTACCAACTGAGCCCCTATGTTTATGTTGCAATATATATTGATTTTGGGACCGTCCTTTTAAGTCCAACACCAGCTGTGCTTCTTTCTCCTGAAATGTGTAAAAAGTTTCTCATGAATAATTCAAGCAAAGACACCATTTCACAAAGAGCAACTTCACAGATATTTGCTTAAACACACAAAGGTGAACTTACTCATGAAATGCACAGTGAGCTAAAGAGAAAGGACAGTGTCCTCCACTGGTCCAGTGTCAGGACCATGTGTCCCTCACCTCTGGTCCTGAGCTTTGGTAAAGACCAGGACACAGAGGGACTATGTGGGGTCCCCCAGATGAGCTGCAGGAAGTGTGTGTGGAGAGAGAAGTCTGCTCTCTGCTCACACTTCACACATTCAGACTTTTCCTAAACACAAAAGTACAATTACACATCAATGTGTCTGTGTTTTCTCCTGAGACCGGGTCAAATACTCACAGACTCGTATCAAGAAGGATCGCCAAGTCCAGTACTCGAGTACACACAGGTTTAGGGACAGAGGAGGCAGCTGTGGATGGGAGACACAAAACAATCATGTTCAAACTGAAAACTGTGACAAAAGACACGATAACATATATTTCAAACAAATCTGACCTAAAGCAGGGTTTGAGATCTCATCGTCACATCCGGTGTGCGTCCATAACTGCAGCAGTGACGCTGCGGCCATCGCACAAACACACACTTTGGAACCTGCAAACAAATACATCACATTTAGCAACAATATAAAGTTATCACATGTTTTCACAAATACAACATTCATACAGTCTTTGAAACCTCTTTAAAACACACAACTACAGCACACTCCACATTCACCCACAGCCATGGACTTTATCAACATCCATGGACGTTGGTCTCTCTCCTTTTGGACCAATGGCTCTGTGTGTTTTTATCACTGCATTTATTGTGTTTCATATGTTGTTGGTGAACTCCACGGTTTGGTAAAGTCTTCCAAGATTATAACTGTTGTGATTTAGGGACAAGAACAAGTGGAATTGAACCATTGGGGATCAGTTCCGTTTCCAACAATGGTAGGAAAGAAGGTAAAGTAACCTCAGTCGCTGTGGTCAGAGATGTGTTCTGTCCATCTGTGTTTTTACTGTTGGAACTTTGTGTTTTACTGTAAATATCAACAACTTTAACCAAATAAATCAAATGGATCACAAATGTTTTCTCCAAAGCTGTCAATGTAAGGATGAGTCCAGTCCCATCCAGCTGGTCCAACCCCTCAGCACCAGTTTGATGCTTTTGATCATCTTGAATGTCTAGACTTTCGTTCCAACAGTGATTACTTTAGTTTAGATTTGTCTTAGCCTGGTCGTACCACACCACAGTACAAATTACATTTCCTTCTAAGGTCTGGAGGTGTTTCATTGACTCCGTTTACAGGTGGGAGGGGTTAACTCCTTTTTCAGATTGAAACGATTGGATCTGAGTTCAACTTTGAAACTAGATTAAAAATCAAATCGGCTCATACATGTTTTATTAGTTTGGATTCAGGGCCAGCCTCTCACTTCAGAAAACTCTTGTTGAATATCGACTCACTCTCATTTATCAATCGCCTAATCATTTTTACTTTTATGTTTTGGGTCTAACATAATGATAAATGTAAGAGAGCATTTCATAAAACGTCATTTTTGATAATTGGTTTGATCGCTGTATTGTGAGCCTCCTTTACTCAGATTTCATGAAGAAAAGAACATGTATCGATTAAGTCTAAAACCTTTAACACATTTATGTTGTAATGTAAAGTAGGGATTTTGTTGTCACTATAATATCTGCAAAATGATATATATATAATCATGAGATATAGAAATATACATATATATATATATATATCATTTGCACTGTTAACCTGAAAGAGCACTGGCTGTAATTGAGTTCCTTTAATAAAAAGTCCAACATGGGGGGGTCAGTTTGCATCCCCCTCAGAAAATTGGTGGATGCGCCCCTGCTGTACGACACACACATTCATAGAGGGGCGGGACATAAGTCTGTCTGGACAACTGTGGATCTGTCCATCACCAACCTCTTACTGAGGAGTGGTCACGTGAAGCTAAGCAGGGCAGGGCCTGGTTAGAGCTGTCATGGGAGACCTTTACCAATGGGAGCAGGTTTCAAACCAAAGAGCTGCGGCCGCCTCGTCCCCACCTCCCACTTCAAGCCTGGGCCTGACCGGGGGTAGAATCAAGGATGTGGGTGAAGTGTCTTGCCTAAGCACACAACGACAGCCCACTGTGTTACCTGCTGTTCCCAGAGGTCTCCCATCACAGTACTAACCAGGCCCTGCCCTGCTTAGCTTCACATGACCACTCCTCAGTAAGAGGTTGGTGATGGACAGACCCACAGTTGTCCAGACAGACTTATGTCCCGCCCCTCTATGAATGTGTGTGTCGTACAGCATCTATCTTACCCATTTTCTGAGGGGGATGCAAACTGACCCCCCCATGTTGGACTTTATTTTAAAGGAACTCACTCAATTACAGCCAGTGCTCTTTCAGGTTAACAGTGCAAATGATATATATGTATATGTCTATATCTGCATTATTATATATATATATCATTTTGCAGATATTATAGTGACAACAAAATCCCTTATGTCCCGCCCTCAATGAAGGAAATACATGTTGTTAACCTGTATTTTCACATCTGTGTGTGTCATACATGATATAAGTATGACGACGATGATGACGATGATGAAGATTATGATGTGTGTGTGATACAAAATAGATTAATTAAGGGGAATCTTTAAAGAATATTGCTGCTGCTGTGACTCCGGCTCCTGCTCCTTCTTTAAGTCCTCGGTGGACTCGGTGATTCGTTGTCGACTGTGGATGTGAC